GTTAACAAAATTATTATGTTAGATTTGATTTCATGTGTACTTTAAACTAGGGTTGGGTAATGTCGACCAATTTAGCATCACACAATAGCCCCTTTCACACATACAGACCTTTCCGGAAAATTACCGGCAATTTTCCTTTTCCGGAAAGGTTGTATGTGTGAACAGGTCCTTTTTGAAAATACCGGTAAATTCGTTCTGGCTATTTTCCGGAAAGAGAAGTTGTAACATTACCGGCAATTTGCCGGAATGCTGCGCTGTGTGAACGCAGAAGGAAGATTTCCGGAATAAGCGTGTGCACGTCTAGAACGTGCTGACGTAAGACGTCTGCTTTAGCCAATCACAACAGTCAGACGCATTTACGTCCGCGCGGTTTATGAGAATAAAAGCCTTTGAATATTTTCCCAGACACATTTAGCTGCTAGAAGTTAGTCAGATCACGTTTATATGTTCTTCTTAATGCCAACTGTGTAAATGATCATCGATGAGATGCTTATGATAAGCCGTTGTTTGTTTACCTTCAAGCTTTGCGTGTGCCCATGAAACAGCCTGTGAGCGCCTGCACACGAACATATTATGAACATCTCGAAATGCGAAAGTGATCCTGCGAAAGTTGTTCACAATATTGATCATCCACAGAGTTTGTAATTTAGTCAAATGTTTACAAATACAAGCGCAGCCGTTTAAAGCTCATTTGTGGTGAATGATGTCAGAATTTACCGGTATTTTGGAATGGATGTGTGAATGCTCTTTTCCGGAAAAATTCCGTAACGTCCTCGCCTGTGTGAACAGCGCTTTTTTGAATATACCGGTAAAGTCGTTCCGTAAATTTTCCGGATATTTACCGGTATCACTGTGTGAAAGGGGCTAATGTCTGATGTGAAACATCGCGATGGACAATGGCATCATCGTGAATTAATTATTTATGAATAAGTAATTTGTTTATAATTAATTAATTATTTGTAGCCTACTATTTCAACTACCTGAACCGCATGGTCTTTGTTTTACCCATAACCAAATCATAAATAAATAAAGATAAGTTAAACACGAATGACCACCTGTCAATTACATTTTCCGCAGGACTCTGGCATGAATAGGCAGAGTGAACTGTGTGGTTATAAAGAAATTGACAAACTTGGTTGGTAAAGAAAGGTGCACAACCAACAGGAACCAACCAACAGTATCTGAGGTTTTCGCTAAAATTACTAAGTAAAAGCAAAGAGCATAGAATCACTAAGAGGCGACACTCTAGTGCGATTTGGGAAACAGCCACTAGATGGCGCGGTGGCCATTTTGGATTGAAAATTCCAATAGAACAACAGCATATTATAAGTCTATAAAATAAACTATTAAAAGTGCTGATGATTGTGATAATAAGTGTTGTATTGTCGTCTTTCAGATTGTATCTCAGCTTCAATTCGCTTTTTAAATAAATAAATAAAAAACAAAGCAGCTGATTGCCATCACGACAGCAATAAGATCCAATGGACAGCCGATCGTTTTCATTCCAAAATGGCGGAATCCGGGGCTGTTGCTGGGCGCTGCTGTTGCAATGGATTGTTCTATTGAGTGTCACAACTTGGTCATTCTAAGCTCTTTGGTACAAGTGTGAAAGCAAAAGATTGAAGCAGTGTGCTGACGCTGTAACGTTACCTGATAGATTCAAAAGAAAGAAGAGTCGTTAGAGACAATTTAATTTAATATTATTAAAATTTATTAAATATTACCTTTAACAACAATAGTGAGACACTATTCAGCGGTACATCCTTAGTAAACTGTTCAATGCAGTGTGGGTGTGGATCGTTTTCGTCCTAAAATGCCATTTTAAAACTAAGACGTATTAGTGTAAACGGGGCCTAAGTGGGTATTTTTCGTGAGCGGGTTGCTGCTGTGATGGGGTGGAGGATCGTGATGCCGATTCAGCATCGTGATGTCTATCGGCCGTTAAAAAATAAAAACTGTTTTGATTTTAGTCGAAATAAAACAAATAAGACTTTCTCCAGAAGAAAAAATATTATCAGGCTGTGAAAATTTTCTTGCTCTGTTAAACATCATTTGGGAAATATTTAAAAAAGGAAAAAAAAATCAAAAGGGGGCTAATAATTCTGACTTCAATTGCATGTATGTATGTGTGTGTGTGTTTGTGTGTGTGTGTGTGTGTGTGTGTGTGTGTGTGTGTGTGTGTGTGTATATGTATGCGTGTATAACTGACTTTTATCATTTATCTAATGCACAAAACTAAAAAGTTAAAGAAGCAAAAATAAAATATTATTTTGGCTTTATTTTATTAATTTCATTTTATTGATGAATTTTCACATTCTATTCATTTGATAGAGTCTATATCTTTTTTTTATTTGTATATTTATTTTTGGAGGCATTTTTGGCTAAATCTGCATTTTTGTTTTGCATGTCGTATTTATTTATTTATTTATTTATTTATTTGTTTGTTTAATTAACATTTATCATTTAGTGTGAATCACTGTGTAATGTTATGACAAAATAAATAAATAAACAAACAAATACTAATAAAAATCGATGTGTGTTATATAAATCGTGTTATTTATTAATTTAATTTATTTCGGGTGAAAATATGGTTGAAATTGGAAATGTTCCAAGAATTTTGATAAACATATACCCATAAAAATATTTTACTGCAGTAAAATTGTGACAGCTTTCCTTGGTATGTTTCCTCTACTGGAGGATTGCTGTTTTTAAACGGGTAAAAGAGTGTTACAGCACAGATATCAGACAACAAAACCTATAATTCAATTAATTATAACAACTTTTTTCAATTAACAAATTTTAATTTAAAAACAATACGAAATCGATCAGTAATGAACTGCGCCACCAGTTGCTTTGTTGTCTTTTCAGCGAATTATAGCCACGATTTATCTCAGAAACGCAAAATCAAAACAATCGCTGGATTAATCGATCATGACAGGAAAACAAAGATGATGCGTTGCTCAAAATGGGCGTAAACAGTTTTGTATAAACGTCACGCACCCTCAAACGTACCTGTTTAGTGTCTTTGATCATCATTTTCAGGTCTATCGGGATTTTCTGAGGAGATGTCATGTTTAATCTCGCTATTCCGCAGAAATAAAATCAGATTTCTTCACAAAGGGCTCTCGACCGCAGTGAGCTGCAGTGATCCTGGCTTGTGGCTATACAAAGTTTCACCGGTCGCCCCTAGCAACAGCGAATTCAGTTGAGATTATTTTGCATGTTCGTCCTTATCTGGTTGTTAATTAGCCTCTTCTTTTTTGGGGGGAAAAAGTAATTCAGTACTTAAAGTTAATATGCATTACAGGGTCAGTTAAAGCAGAAATGTTTGTTTAGTGTTTTCCCCCCTCAGGTAAACACGATAAATCATGCGCAGTGCTCAACATTCACCACTAGATATCGCCACGACTCCTCTTTTATGAAGACTTTTTTTTGTTAGTTTTTTGTTTATAAGACCAACATGTACAGTTTTCTTATACAACAAAATTACTTTACATTTATTAACAAGAATGGAATAAATGAGTGAGAGAAAAAAAGTAATTATTAAAAAAAACAAAAAAAACAATACATAATGATCACATACACACGTTTTTCCAATTTTAATTATTAAATGCACGTTTACTACAAGAAATGCATATATACAAACATTTTTATGCAAAAAAAATGTTAAAGGAGGAGCATATATATTAAATCTTTAGGTTATGTAATAAATGTAGTTAATCGATGGACTATTTGTTTTTTGTACTTGCTGTTAAGTGTTGATGTTTGTTGTGTTAAGTGTGTCATTCTTGTTATACTATATGTGAAGCACCACCATGTCGAAATGAATTGCCCCAAGGGGATTAATAAAGTTTTAAACTAAACTAAAACTAAACTAATTGCTTTTCTATTTTAATCTTAGAAATCAGTTTTATATACATTTGAATCTCTTTTTCTAGCACCATGACGAGAGGTTTGCTTTTGGAAAACTTGGATTTATGTATGTGAAATTTACATAATAATAAAATAAAGTTTATAATAAAACCAGCATCTTTTAAAGAGTGATCCTTAACATAATAACCCGAAATCACATGTTTATAAGATAAGAAAAAGTATTTAAAAATATTACGAGCAATAAAAGCTTCAACATTAATCCAAAAAAGTCGATTTTATTGGCAAGACCAAAATAAGTGTGAAATAGCTTCATTAAAGCTTTCACAAACAGCATTCTGACTTAATATCAGTTTTACATTTTTTTAAAAATATTTCTGTTGGATAAATTACTATGAAGCAATTTCAATGATATTTCTTTAGCCTTATTCGTAATAAAACATTTTTGAGGTAATGACCATACTTGAGTCCAGTTTACATTATTGTTCCTGTTAAAATCAACATACGATATGTATTTCTTTTAAGATTAAAGATCTAATTTTGTGATCCTGACTGAAAAGGTGCAGTAAGAATTCGTACCTACAGTTGAAGTCAGAATTATTAGTCCGGCTGAATTATTAGCCCCTCTGTTTATTTTTTTCCCCAATTTCTGTTTAACGGAGAGAAGATTTCTTTAACGCATTTCTAAACATAATAATTTTATTAACTCATCTCTAATAACTGATTTAATTTATCTTTCTCATGATGACAGTCAATAATATTTGGCTAGATATTTTTCAAGACACTTCTATACAGCTTAAAGTGACTTTTAAAGGCTTAACTAAGTTAATTAGGTTAACTAGGCAGGTTAGTGTAACTAGGCAAGTTATTGTATAACGATGGTTTGTTCTGTAGAGTAATGGAAAAAATATAACTTAGAGGGGTTAATAATTTTGACCTTAAAAAAGATTTTTTTTTTTTTTAATTAAAAACTGCTTTTATTCTAGTCGAAATAAAACAAATAAGACTTTCTCCAGAAGAAAAAATATTTTGAGGCACACTGTGAAAATGTCTTTGCTCTGTTAAACATCATTTGCGAAATATTTAAAAAATAAAATAAAAATTCAAAATAGGGCTAATAATTCTGACTTCAACTGTATACTATTATAGGCCTAAAGAGTAATGTATAATTTCTCGAGGTTTTAAAAAGTAGCAAACACAAAAGTAAGCCACAAAGTAAGATCTCAAATCAGAGCACAAAATCTCAGTCGTGGATTAAAATGTTAGTTCACCCAAGAGTGAAAATTCTGTCATCATTTACTCTTTACTTTTTTCAAACGTTTATGAGTTTCATTCTTCTCTTAAAACACTGAACAAGTTGTTTTGAAGAAAGCTGGGAAACTAATTTATGTAATAACTTCCATAGTATTTGTTTTTCCTTCTATAGAAATCAGATCATTGCAGGCTCGTAGCTAGCTTGGTGAAGGGGGTGGTTATTAAAAAGTGGACCTTTTTGCAGTTATTTGCCTCATTTTTTTATTTAACTTTGAGGTTTAAATACTGCATTTTAGTGACATTAAAAACACTATTTTAGCTGAACTAGCTTGTCTGGTGGTCATCATCACACTTTTTGATGTATCAAAAACATTTGCTAAATATTTAGAATAAAAAAATATTATTTATACGTATAAATTTTAAAATACGTCACATCATATATCATTAGGGAAAAAAATGAATCTCTTAAGGCTTTAAATTAAAAACTGCCTATTAAGGCCAAGTAAATTGTCATTTATTAGGCAAATAAAAAACTGGCCAGCACATTCAACTTTCCTGTCAGAATTTGGCCACTTGAATAATACAAATTAAAGGTAACATTAATAATGTAGAGCCTAATGTCTAGCCTCTCTTGTAAAAAGTTCATCTGAAAATTCATGGATGACAACAGTAGCCTACTTAGTATTAAAATTAAATTTTATAAGTTTCAAAATTAAGTTTGGTGCTCTACAACTTTTTATCAGTCTTTTTTTCTTTCAATCAAGAATAAGTTTCAACATTTAGAATAAAAGTTACTTGTAAAATGTTTTTTTGCTATTCAACAACAATAAAGTAGGTCAGTAGTGAATGATGACTTCACTTACATCAGTTTCTTCTCTGTCTTAAAGCCGTCTTCGATGAGTTATTTTTACAATTTATGATGGCATAGTAGTCAAAATAGGACAAATAATCTTATGGGACAGAAGCAATAAGATTCAAGTGATTCATCAAGTGATTCAAACCTTTATACATTTCACACACATAAAACAGGCCCATAACCCCCCCCCCCCCCCCTGGTTATGGGCCTGTTTTATGTGTGTGAAATGTATAAAGGTTTGAATCACTTGAGGGTGAGTACATAGTGATTACATTTTCATTTTGGCTGAATTATGCCAGTCAATTGTGGCAAGCATTGCAGAAAATGATTTTTGTTTTTCAGGTGCATCTTTAAATCAAGAAACATTTGCTTGACAAAGTGATCATGTGAAGTCTAGGCAAGTTTATTTATTATTTATTATTTTTATTTACTTATTATTTATTATATAGCACATTTGATACACAGTGGCAATTCAAAGTGCTTTACGTAAACAGGAATAAAATAGACAAGTATAAAACATAAAAAACAAATAATAAATGTGATTAAAACATATAAAAACAGATTAAAAAAGAAAAGAAAGACAAAATAGTGTGATCTAGTACGATGTCTAGACAACATATGATGTAAAACATGACAACAAACATGTCAGAGGATTTTGAATTATTTGTGAGTTTACCCAAAACTGAAAATTCTGTCATCATTTACTCACCCCTTAACTTATTCCAAACCTGTTTTTGAGTTTCTTTATCCTGCCGAACACAAAAGAAGCCATTTTAAAGAATGCTGGAAACCTGTAACCGTTGACTTATATAGTATTAGTTTTTTTCTATGGAAGTCAGATTATTTCAAAATATCTTATGTGTGTGTGTTTAATAGAAGAAAGAAATGTATAAAGGTTTGGAACCACTTGAGGGTGAGTACATAGTGATTAAATTTTATTGTGGCTGAATTATGCCAGTCAATTATGGAAAGCATTGCATAAAATGATTTTTGTTTTTCAGCTGCATCCTTAAATCAAGATACATTTGGTTGACAAAGTGATCATGTGAAGTCTAGGCAAGCAAGGCAAGACACGTTTTTTTTAAATAATAATCTGTTTGAGTTTCTTTATTCTGCCACACACAAAAGAAGACATTTTAAGGAAAGCCTGAAACCGGTAACCGTTGACTTCCATTGTGTTTGTTTGTCCTACTATGGAAGTTGTTGGAATCATTACAGGTTTTCAGCTTTCTTCAAAATAACTTTTTTTTTTGTGTTCAACAGAATAAAGAAACTCATAAAGGTTTGAAACCACTTGAGGTTGAGCAAATACTGAGTACATATCAATCATTCTGGGTGGACTGTTCCTTTAAAATGATTTTTCTGAGCTCATTGGCAGCCATTTGTTCTTGGTTTAATCATAATCTCACCTCTTTTTGATTAGATTTTTTTCTAAAAACTAGGTTTATGTATTTTTCCTCTTACATAAATATATCTTTATACTAAAAATGTGAAAAAAACATCAAAAACTTTTTATAGTAAGAACAGTACTAGTATTTCAGTGTTTTGGATTTATTTATTTATTTATTTATTTATACAGTAATGGAGCATATTGAGATGTTTCTTTCACCGTATTATTTTCATTCTTTGGTCTTAAACTCTCTTAAAGTCTTAAAACATCCTTTATAAAAACCTGCATAAACTGCAAATTAACCTAAACATTTAAACAACTGCAATAAACATTGCAGACTTTAATTTCTACCTCTAACAAAATCTTACATTTTGATTTGCATCCTGATTTTCTTGGTCTCCCAAGCTTTATAATAATTTTGAGGACTTTTCAGCCGATCACTGACTGTGAGCTTTTAATTTATAAGTGTGAATCTCATTAAAAGTTTCACAGTCCTAAAAGGCTTTAGCTTGCAACTTTAAGTTTGATGCTGAAGGATCACTTATTAGCCGAGCATGAGATCTTTGACTTGCCCTAGTGACTCCCTGCAGAAACCCACTGACCCTAAGTAATGCATTTAAACCTGTGTTCTGCATTATTTGAGTGCTGAAATCTGGTGAAAACTTGAACTTGTGCTCAGTCTCGTGCTCAGTCAGTGAGTTTTACATTCTAATTTATCAGAATTTAAAATAGTAAACCAAATGTTTTGTTCAATTGCAAAAATACTGTCTCATGCTTCTGTAAATGTAATGCATGTAAAAAGTAAAAGTAAATAACTCTACAAAGATCAGGCTGCCACTATCAGCGACATTAGAAACACAAAGAAAAGCAAAGTTAACTCGTTCCAGTCATTTAATGCAAACTAAATTAGTAGCTGTTGACCACTTTTTCTCCAGCTAATAGGGGTTAAGGCTTGTTATTACTTCTGGTTTCTAACTGGTTTAAGCTGGTTCAAGCTGTTCAATGGCTGAGCACTTGACTTAAAACTGGTATGACAGTGATGTACACTTTGCTGACTTTGTTTTTTAATATAATGTGATGAATGGTCACTTAATTGTTGAATCTGAAACATAAAATGTGGCAAAGGTTATGGTCTGCAGTGTTTTCTACTATTTGTCATTTAATTCAAATGCAACATTTATATAAAATTTGCATATAATAACACAAAATGCTGTGCTTTCAGATGTGTTTATATCTATTTTTAGACAAGACAAACTATTTTCACTGTTTAAAAAAAAAAGTTGACTCAACTTCAAATTTTAAGGCAACAAACTTCAGGACATTTTTGAGTTGACTCAACTTCCAACCCAATCACTGCACTTGACTCGATTTAAGTTGAGTAAACTCAAAAATGTCCTAAAGTTTGTTGCCTTAAATCTTTAAGTTGAGTCTACGTTTTTACAGTGTGCTTTAACTTGAGCATAGAGTTAAGAATGCACTATTTGGTGGAATAACCATTCATTCTGATCAAATGTCATTTTCTACAAGTAAAAAAAGCAGTACAATACAATATTTTACATTTAAATATTTGAAGAAATGTTATCAGGCTTTTCTAAAGTAAAACAAATGACACAAACTCATACCTACTAAATTTACACTCTAAAAATAATAGATTGATTGGTTACACTTTGTTATGATGGTCCATTTGAGTATTAGTAGACTGTCTGCTTAATATCTGTTGCTATGGTCCTTCAACAGACATTTAACTGACTATAGGAAACTTTATAGTAAATGTAAACTTACACTAACCCCAACCCCAACCCCAACAGTCTACTCATAATCTAATGGGGATTAGTTGGCATTTTCAAGTTGTCTCTAAATTTCAATTTTACCCTAAACACGCAGTTGTTTTAACCCAATTGGGTCAAAATGGACAAACCCAGCCTTTAGTAATACTTTATATAATTCAATAATTAAATTTTAATAATTTAATTAATAATAATAATTTTTAAAAAGCGCTGGGTTTGTTCACATTTGACCTAACTTTGGGTTTTGTCGACAATCTAGTATTTATTAGAGTGTTCTATAGCTCTCTATATGTTTTTATAGTATAATAATTATTATTATATAGTTTAGCAAACAAAACAAGCAAACAAACATGTAAATACATTAAAAGAAAATACAAATTTTATTATTACAGCTGTAATTATACTCTAAAAATATTTATTTCAACTCAAATCTTGGTTAAAGATTTACAAACTCAGCCATTATATGTTAAAAAGTGTAGTTTAAATCTAATTGAATAAATTACACAATACTGGCTCTGTTCAAAATTTACCCAACACTGGATTTCTGCAACCCAGAATTTGTATGGTAATTTTCAAATTTAGAGACCACTTGGACATTTTAGGATAATCTAAGTTAAAATAGGTTGGGTTAGCTTTTTATAAATGGGTTATTTCAACGTACTTTGGTTAAAATGTGAACAAAACCAATCTCTGGGTTAATTTATTGAATTAAATTTATGGCTTAAATTTATCACAATCCTTGCTGTTTTGTCCATATTTAAGTTGAATTTGAGTTAAAATAGTCCAGTGTTTGTTTGAGTGTAACTATAACTGTAATAATACAATTATTAATATAAAGCTATCTTTATTTATATGTTTGTTTATTTACTTGTTTGTTTGTTTGTTTATTGTATGTAAATAAATATAAAGACAGCTAAGAAACACTGTAAAAGTTGCTGGATTGTTGTAACCCAACATTGGGTCAAATGACAAACCCAACATTTGTGTTAAAAAAAGCATACTTTACATTTAAATGAAAAAAACTAACCCAACATTGGTTTCGTCTATCTTTGACCCAGCATTTTGTGTGTGTGTGTGTGTGTGTGTGTGTGTGTGTGTGTGTGTGTGTGTGTGTGTGTGTGTGTGTGTGTGTGTGTGTGTGTGTGTGTGTGTGTGTGTGTGTGTCTGTGTGTGTGTGTGTGTGTTACAGCAGCTGTCCCTATATAATTATTAGATAGTTTGCTTAGTTTTGTTAGGTAGATAGATAGATAGATAGATAGATAGATAGATAGATAGATAGATAGATAGATAGATAGATAGATAGATAGATAGATAGATAGATAGATAGATAGATAGATAGATAGATAGCTTGGTATTGTTAATTGTATTAATACAACAGTAATTACTTGCGATTTGTTCGCGTTTATCATTTAGTAAGTGTTGCGCAATGCCTCTATTACGCAGGCTCGTCAATGAGCTCAACAGGTTCCTGGGAGCCCGTGCAGGATTTGCTCGTGTGGGTCGAGCTGAGGGGGAGCGTCATGTGCACGCCCTTTTTCATCAGCCCGGGACAAGTGAGTAAGAGCCACTTCACTGCATCTCAGTCCCAAGAGCTCCATCTGGCCGGCTTCATGAGGGGCTGGACGCGTCACAATGCACACACAACTTCTCCTCATTCTCACTTTATGTGCTCTTCAGTGCGACTGTCAAGGTATGTGACAACTTTTATCAACTCATTTCGTGTCGTGTTTGGTTTAGAAGTGCTCACATAAGCAGGATTTGTTCTAACAATAGAAATGAAGAGAGCAACATCACACTTATCCTGGTTTAATTGTTCTGCGCACGCGTATGTTGGACACATAAACAACCGCTAGTGCGGATAACGGTGTTATCTAACAGGACTGTTATTTATGTGTGATATAATGAACGGTCTGTATGCTCGAAGTTAAATTCGAGTTGTTAAACATTTTACTTGTGGGAAATCGAGTTTGTCCAAATAAAATAATTATAAACAAGTCGCGGCGGCGGCGCACAAAGCCTCACTCGGACAGATTTGAGGTTCTCCGGGAACTTTTGCATGGGCTTTGGCGTTGCTAGGTAACAGAGACGAGCATGTGACTCGAAGACAATCTCCTGCAGACCCCAAGCTGCTGGTACAAAGCAAATTCAACACATTTTTGTCCCTGAAAGACTTAACCAGTCTGCGGTGCAGGGGATGTCGAGTTTGAGACGTGCGTTTTGTAGCACTTGGTTAATCGGTTGACAGCCCAACAGGTTGCTCTGGTGCAAAAGTGTGGTTGCATGGATAGAGCTTCTCAAATTGTAATCTGCTTTCTTTTTGCCCAACCCTTAGTATGTAAGCTTCTTATGTGAATCGAGCAACTAATTACTCCGCAGCTGCCGCTCAGAGCAACCATTGCTGCCTATAGAACTCTCTGTTATCCTGCTTTGCGTATATGTTACACCATACATGGCACTTGCTCATTTCCCGTTTTTGGATGTAGGGCGAATTATTGGGATGCTTGCATATAAGAAAGTTCAAACCAGCTGACTGTATTAAGTTGTATACTGCGGCTCTGTTGAATGCTCGATTCTGATTGGCTTATGCACATTCTAAGGTGTTCAGTTATTTTCATGGGAATCCACAGCTATTCAGGTCTTGACAACAGTTCTATATCACATCCCAAAATGATTTTGTGAATAGTTTAGCCATTTTCTTAACCTGAAGTAGTTCATAGAATATATATATATATATATATATATATATATATATATATATATATATATATATATATATATATATATATATATATATATATATATATATATATATATATATATATATATATATATATATATATATA